ACCCACACCGACGATCGGTTTTTTCTTCAGGAACCCTAACCAGAGTCTTCGACTCAAAAGTTTACCCTACAGGGCGGCGAGAAATTATGGGTTTTCTTGGGGAACTCTAACCGGAGCATTCGACTGAAAATACACCCATCCGGGTGCATAAAGCTACTATTGACTTGACTTGATTCAAAAGTTCGAACCACAATGTATTGGGGCGTAGATCTAGCGTCCGTGAGTGAACGAAGCATTTGTGTAGGAGCTTCTAGAAACCCCTCATGAAGGTCTTAGGGCTTCGGTTCAGTGTGTTGTTCGCTAGTGCGTTGATTATCGGGACTGGCCCTTAGTCTCATACACTAAATGAGACTAGTGGAGCGTGGACGGGACAGCACGTTACTCACTGTGGACTGCCCAGCTTGGGTGAGCGGTGCGAAGACTTCCCTGTTATCGAGAAGAGGCGCAGGACACCCCGCTCCTACGTCCATCTAGCAGGTTTTTTTGACCGGTCATCTGCCTCTCCCCGTGTTTATTTACTGGAATGAATTCTCCAGGGGCGAGAGTGGATAGACAAAGGAAATTAAGTGTCTAAGCAGCTGGCATTGTGAGACGGAGTTTTGTCTGTCTTGTAACCATTGAACTTTGAGGCATGATTGGATCTGCGACTGAGAAACCATACTGTATAGCTTACATGATCATGGAGACGCGCAAACCATCACACCACGTCAAGGTGCAGTCTGGTCGTGATGGACCTATTCAACAGTTAGCACCAAAGAGCGTAGAGGTTACGAGCGCTTAAGATAAAAATTGGTCAACACAAACTTCGAATTAAACACCGATGAGAAACCTGTGATAAACACATCCGACTCGGAAATTACTGACATTCGGTGAAAAACCCATACAATATCATAATTTCGATACATCCGGTCTCTCCGATAGATTCGATACATCCAAACGACTGCAAAGTCGTGTGCGAACATATTACTAATGCGTGACAGATGCTTAGTGAACGCTTCAAACACCTGTAATTTTTCAAACACATCTGAAACTGATCACATGCTGATTCGTTGTAAGCTACGTCTTCAAGGGATAGCCGGAGACAATGACATAATACCATATATATTGCTCTTCTATCTCATACTCCCCCCTCCCATTTTTGTGATTCCATACATACACTGTATTTTAAATAAAGCCTCAAGTTTGTGCCTTCCTCGTTCTGATTTCTCGTTTGTTCTGCATTGCTATCACGGATCGCGCGGTTCTTCTAGTCCAGTCATTATGTCATGTCTGTTAGTTCGTCAATGAGAATTATTTGTATTTTGTTATGGCGCTACACTGTCTGAGGCCGACTTGACTTACCAACATGTGTGAAGTTTTCTTCATCTGTCAACTTGTTCTTTAATGATCGGCTAAGACTTATTCCCGACTAGGTTGTTCAGAAAATTTACGGATTTTGGCAAAAACAGAGATTTTATCAATATGCAGCTAGATAGATAGTAAGATGGTATTTGTGTCCTAAAATTGGTCACAGTGCGATTGATGATGATGATGAGTAAGTCCATGGAAATGATATAACACGATATTCGAGTAAAGTGGCATCTCCGAATTAGAAGGTCCCGACAGTTCCCTTGATACTGAAATCACACCTTCCAGTTCGATTATTGTCTGACAACCCGTCGATTTACTTCAACTCACGACTTAACTCGGCAAACGCGGCACGTGAAAAGTAAAAATTCGTGTACATTAAAAAAAATCTTTCCACGAAGAAATTTAAGTTAGGAAAGTTCAGAAATCTCACAACTGCGCTCTTTTTTGTCCGAGTCCGGACTGTGTGCCAAACAAATCACGGTTAAACAATTTCCGCACAGGACCAATGATGGAACTTCTCTAGGAATGGCCGATTAAACAGGTGTATGCATTACTTGTTAATCAGGGACGAGAACACTTATGTGCATATACCAACACTGTTTACACACAGATTAGGATAGGAGATCTGGGTCTACAGCGCCCAAGAAAGTTCAGTTCACTTCTTACAACCATTAACCGTGCACTTTCGTGCGCCGGTTTTGGTTGCCCATTCGGATAAAAAAGCAGAATGAAGATTAGAATGTTGACAGTCGATTCAAGCGGAAGATAGCACATCTACATAGACTGAAGTTACAAGAATAATGGGTAGATGCATGGTTCGGTTTTCAGGAAAACCGAATATTTCATCATTGGAAAATCAGTCGATAGTGGACAAGCAACTGGTTGACTCTAGGAAACAGTCAAATGGATCAACAAAGACTACAAACATCCATAAATTGTTATTTCACTTTGATATTACATACGAGCCCCTATTCGCAGTCTCCTTTTTTTCTACAGTACCGTATCGGTTGAGATGCAAACACGATCATCCTGATCACTTATTTTGCTAGAAAGAATAAAAAAACAATTTGTTTGATTTGTGCCACAGAGAGAGAGAAAACTACTTAATTACTTATTTTATTCTGTGTACCCATTCACTTGTTCCGATGGAACAACATACATAAGCCGCAATTGTCCGAACGGATTCGTGAACACCACACTGTCTGGCTGAACACTGAAACGATTAAGTCACTCACCAATGCACTGGTTTCACTCCTAACCGAAACAAATCACGCTGTGCACATGACCGAGGCATCCCGCATCCTGTATGAAGTCCTAGGGCCATTACCAATGCAGATTAGTTGTCGGATGCTGGTCACAGTAGAAACGATAGGAATTTGTCTGCACAACCCCCCCCCCTCTGTGTGCTCAAAACAATTTGTGCAAGCGCTAAAGCTTCCCTGGCTTACCCNNNCCACCACACACACACACACACACACACACACCGAAGCACGAGTAATTTAGATGATCGAACCAACGGACAAACAAATATGTGATCGTGTTCAATTCAATTTCCGGTCACATGATGAAATCGTTTCTAGTAATCTGAGCTTTTATTTTATTTCTCCAAGACAATTCTAGTCCCAAGTAGTGAGATGTATTGGCATGAATATGAATCTTTGAAAATGAGCTTGTTCTCAACCTTGTCGTTTTGTTTAAAAGAAACCCAATAGAAAATCGTGGATTCAATCATTTCGAGTACTCGAAATCATAATCATCATTATTTGTACATGTGTAATGACGTTCAAGATTGAAAAAAACAACGCAGGTGCCGGAACACGACCACGTCAATTACATCAATTGGAAACGTGTAGATCAGGGTCAACCGGTCACCAGCGAACAACCCCAGTCAACTGTGGCGCATCAACATGTGACTGGGATGCAAATCCTACCAAGCTAGGTGAAATTGTCGTTTCCGATTATGCGACCAGTAATCAAACCACTTCGAGCGGCGGGTTCGGTTCCTGTGTTTGATTATTATTATATTACACCGGCTTGTGAACAAGCATGGTGCCAACGCCACAACCACATTAACAATACTAGGCGATAGATGGGATGGGGTACAGAGCGAAGTGGAAAGAGGGTGAAACAGTTAAATACGGGAAAATGGAAGATAACTGGAATAACAAAATTATTTTTGTGTGTTCAACCGTACACCTTTTGATATTTTTTGTTTTTGTTATTTTTACGGGGCACAGGATTTCGACAGGCAGATCGTACAGCATTCGCACCACTTGTGGGCTATATCTCTCAGCGTTTCTAACCAACGAAAATCCTCATCCCTTGGGCCCCAACTTGGAAAGCGGGCTGCATCAACCGAAGCCAACTTCTGCATGCCTCTATGCCATGTCATGGTTTGACCGCCGCGCCGCTTCTTCCAGTCTTGCCCGGCATGTGCGAAGAGAGCAAGGAAAGGTAGTTGGTGGGCAGGCGTACGAAATATGTGACCAAGCCATCAGAGGCGGTGTAGAGCGATTGCTTCCGTTAGAGAACGACTATCCGCACCCAACACACAACGACGAACCTCGTCATTACTCACCCGGTGTTCCTGTCTTTTGACCGGATAGATTAGCCTGAAGCGGCCTTTAACGCGAGCGATTCCAGCAAACTAAAGTGCACGACGATTGTATTGCCTGTTTATTGTGCTAAAGAACGGTGCTGGCTCTACTACATGTGTTGCAATCTGCTAAGAGGTTTGCGATGTAAATTTTTACAACTCTGTGACTCCACAGTGCGAACATTCTGGGCAAATGTCCGGAAATTCTAATAGACAACTTCATCCTAGTTTGTCTTAAGCGCCGGTTACCGTAAGTCCATCAAAACAGTGAAATTCAAACACAGATAACTTGAGAATTATGCCTGTCGAACTCCGTCAGCAGACATTCGATCTTATGTGAGACGATCAGCGAAGCAATACGAAACGTCTCATGGGCTATTAACCTTATCCGCCGTTAGGTCTGTCTATGGCTATTATCTTCTTCGGAGGAAAACAGCAAAGCTGTTCGCCCATTCTCTGTCACTGTTCTTTTCCGTTGAACTGTTTTCAAAAACGACGCGGATAATAAAAACAAGTGGGCGGCAGGATTTAATGCACCCCTTTCCGAACTCCAGCCTCGATGTTAAAAGAATAAGTAGAGAAATAAACGAATTAGGAACTTACCAATCTACGACCGAAATATATCCACAACGAACGTATAACTTCAAGACTCGGCCCCCAAGTGGTGGATAAGTCAAGCAAACAACGGAGATACGTTTGTACTTCCTTCTCCGACGGAAGCACCTCCTATGATGGGATACAAAAAGAAAATTGAATTTGCAGTGTTTATGAGATCACGATACATATGAAACGTGTCTTTAAACAGAGAGTAGGCAAGATTTGTACAAGAAGTTGGGAAACAATGAAACATCAGAAATAAACAAATCAAATCAAAGTAAACTTTGTGCATCTGCAAGGTTAATTTTCGGCGAGCTACACGAGAGCACAGAGAAACCAGAAAGAAGAAAAGTCGCACTGCGAGCAATAAGATGACGATAATAATGGTAAAAATAAACACTAATGAGATGTTCCACCATAACTCTGAAAGCCTCAGCATGGTCGGGGTGGGTGTCCCCGACTGCGACTGGTCACCTCTACCTTGCATCTCGCGAAAATCTCCCATACGACCAAGCGTCTGAAATAGCTCCTGCTGAGTAAGCTCTAATCACCGCCTTCTGGTGACGGTATTTTTCCCAAAAAGTCAGATGATGAAAAGCTAAAACCCGAAGCCATAACCGAATCGGTGAACCGCTGGCAGTTCACCTAGGGGAGTTGGCTAAAAATCTTGGATTCCAACCCAACCAAGGAGAGGCGTACGAACCGCACACACCTTCCTGGTTGCGGCAGTGATCACCGGCTCGATGGGGCATCGAGGTGTATTGGGCAACTTGGAGGTTTGATTCCGTCCAAAGGGTGAATGATCCGATGAACTGGACACCTAACCCCAATGGATTGCAGTTTCCTCACACCACTACGCTGCCTTGAGGGTTAGGCTTTGGCTAGCCAAAGGCTCCCGTTGTGGATTCCGCACGAAAATTCGCCTGCCTTGGCCTGGGTAACCTTTTTTAATCGTGCCTTCGAGCAAATCATGGATTTTCCCCCTTTTTTTAAAGATCATTGGAGCCGTGATTTTTTCGGCACAGTTCGGATTCAGATAGGTATGAAATACGACACAATGTTCCACCTTACCTGCAATAATTGGTGACCGGTTGACTACAACACGGGAAAGATAAGGAACAATGTTGTTTCTGTATCTAGTGGTGCGTGCAGGAGGAAGCGTAGAATGGGAACGGCTATGGGGTGTTGATGTGGATTTAAGAAGTTCGTTGCGCAAGTAATGATCTTCATCGTTCAAGGTTCTGTTATAAATCACTTTACAAGCATCGATATGCTTGTATACAATAAAAATGTACACGGTACCGAGAAATGATTTCAGTGGATCTGGAAATTATCATGAAATTCTTTTCTTTTAGACCGAAAAAAGTACAGCGGAACAGTACGGACCATGAGTGAGGATGCACGCGACCACACATTGAAAAATCACATCTGAGGGAACAGCAAGCTTCCCCAATCTGGAAGCACATAAACGAAGTTTACGAAACCGATTGAATACATTCTCTATATGGCTACCCACAAGAGATTGTTGGATAAAACGATACCGAGGTATTTAACACATCCTCCCTAGCACACATCAAAAACAATCACAAACGATGAAGCACATTTTAATTTGACTATATATAACTGTATTAGCCCGAAGTTGTCGAAAACGAGCTTGTTCGCTAAAACCACTGTATTTAACAGAGTCAGCTTTGGGACTGCTGTGACCGGTAACGAAGAATTTTAGTAGATTATTTTAAGTAGTTTGATAACGGGAGTCATACTAACGGTTGAAAGGAGCATTTCGAATCATTAAGAGGTCGAGATCAATAACAGACGTAGTATGGATACAATTTGGCGGAAAGATACATGGTTAATAAAGGGAACATGAATTTGTGAAGAAGCTAGGCAGTTGCAACTTTTATCAAACTGATATTTTACATAGAGTAGGTAAGAATATAACAACCATATTCTTTTCGATCTTACCCAAAGATGAGAACTCCCAGGCATTTGCACATTAATGATCATATTACTCATAAGTAGCAAAATCTTGTACAAGAAAGGAGCTGAAAAACCATGAATGCTATTTCTTTTCTTATTTTTTTTACTTCCTTTTATTGAATACACTGAATGATACAATTTTCCGGAAGGGGGAAGCGGTCAATCAAAGGATGGCCATAAGGAAGATCAGGTGATAGTGGTGGGGTTCAAACACACGTCTCCCGAGGTGATAATTTGGTGATGTCACCACCGCCGAAAAACCTACAGCAGGGCGGAAATGAAACCTAATTTTGCATTGTATCTTTTCTATGGATTCGAGATTATGACCAAACGGAATCATAAAATCGTCTTCTAGTCCTTTGCTAATTCGGAAAGACTCATTCATGTGGTAGAATTCATAAACCCATTGAGATGGTTCACTGCACCATACACCTATAGCAAGCAGTACAAAAACCGATAGAGAGCCCAATTTTCAGCAGCTAATCGCTGTAACAATATTGGCCGAAGGTGCACTGGGGGATCATTTATAACCCGCCGGTAGAAACCTTTACTCGTGTTCGATTCGAAATCCAGACCAGCTACCTACCTCAGTTGTATTTACCATTCACCACACGTTGATGGACTTCACTCACCGCCCCAGGCCTCCAAATTTTGCACATTACTAGGAAACATATTTCACGACAAAAACCGAGCCACTGGATGAAGCACAGTGTTATCAGCTCCTCCACCTCAGAGTAAACAATCGATTCCATTTACGATAAAAGGAACTTGATGAGAATAGCTCCCACATGAATGGATACTTTCCTTTCACCCTACGAACACCGAACATCAAATCCATTAACTCAGATGTGGACCCGCATATTGCATCCATATGCACAATGTTGTTCATTTAGCAAAAAGCCACAGTTTTTTATACCTTCTACATGAGCTTATCAATCCAAATGTAAAATCTGCCCAATCCACGAACTAGTATCACTTCTAGAGGGTTATTTTGTAAAATAAAAGATGTATTTGACAACAGTTCCATTAAGCGAATACACCTGAGCGAGGTAAAGTTTAATAAAATTTGCTCTCCACCTGAAGGCAATAATAACCAAAAAAAAATAATCGAGGGGTGGGAGGTATTGCCGTGTGTAAGATCCGCCCATGATTTTTTTCAAACTGAACATAAGCTCTATCCCCAAGAACCTCGGTGGTCGGGAAGTTTAATTTCCAATCCATCGAGTATCAAGACCAGGGGTTTCGAATCCACGGTGACGAACAGCTTTGTTATCACTGCGGGTAGTACCCAGACCCGTTACACCGGGAAGCTGAGTGGTTCACCACGTTAATTGCTGTCTATCATTCACAATTAAACAGTCGACACTTGCGACTATGAGATTCATCTCTTCCACAGTCAATCCAATTCGAATGTGATTATAAATGACAAAAATATCAAACTGGACGACAGAAAACAACAGGGATTCAAAATTTGAGAGAGAGAGACTCACACCAAGAAACAACTTCCGAATTAACCAAATCACAATCGAGTATTTCTGAAGTGTTCCGGGAGATATCTGCAGGATGAAAAAACAACAACCAAAAAAAGAAAAGGAAATAGCGAGTAGCATGAAACGTGGTGTTGTAAAATTGCGGCACGAACATGACCTAAGCGCATCGCGAAAAAAAGACCAGAGGTACTAACTTCTGTCTGAAGCGTGAACTTCATGTAGATTCGATGTATGGGGGCGGTGTAGGCCAACAGGGACCAATACACAGACCAAACAGCCTGCTCGGAGGTGGCGAATTCCGGACGAAGTTCGGTATCTCGTTGAATGATAGGATTGGGACGGAGACGTTCCAAAGATGTGGGTTCTAATAATGAATAAAACAGGGCAAATAAACAGAACTTCCAAATATTTTACACAAATACACAGCAACAAGCCGATATGAAAAAACTTCAAAAAGGTATATATGTATGCTGTTTATGAATCATGAGCGATAATAATTCAATGACATCAAAACACATGGAAGTTATTTGTTAGGGATCCAAACCAAACCCTGAGAGTCAAATATTTCAGCCTTAAGGCCCTGGAAGATAGTACTAAGTAATAGGGGACCGGTCGAAAGTTTCCTCAAGCTAACCCAGGAATAACTTTGTATTCACTAACACTAGTGTTCCGCTTACTCACTGATCAGGCCATGAGATGTTGGCTGTTTACAATGAAGTGATAGGGCAAACAGTGGATTTCTGTGACCATCATCTTCGTAACCTCCTGGAATTTATTGGACAGACCAGTTTTTCAGCTAACCAGCCGTGTGACCGGGCGGCATGTGGGGAACAAATACCATTTATTGAGGAGTTCAACTATGAATTCTCATCTCGTAATTGTCTTTCCCGCGGCACTTGTTACATATCCCAAGTTGATTATCTGAATCTGCCGGACATCGATTGGATAGATGAATTGAATTTCTGGCAATTCACGTTCAGTGAAATTTGTGATTGTTCTGAGACTAAGTGCACCTAACAACAGAATCAACTGATCGATTGTGTCAGTAAACTACAAAGACACGTGTCCTTTCTCGTTTAAAAACGGACTACCCTAGCGTTTGTTTCTGATGGTCATAGTTTATGCTATAGAACAAAAGCATTTCCACACGGATCTTTCAGCACCACAAACACGTCCAAAACGGTGTGTACCTTATGCATCAATAGAGCGTACCAACGAAAAGCTGGCCTGGCTGGAGCAGTTAGGAGTATTAAGACCAGTTAACTATTTAGTATAGGGCTGCACCGATCATTGTAGTCAAGTTGGCCAACAGGACCATAGGGATCTGTGCTGATTTTCCGACGGAATTGAATCAATGACTCAAGATACATCAGTGCCTATTGCCTGTTCCAGATGATTTGTTTACCGAATTGGACGATGGTAAACCAATTTTTCCTATCCGTACACACAAGTTGAGGTGGAAGATGAAAGCAAAGAACTGCACTCACGAAGGCCCGTATCGTTACAATCGTTTACCGTTTAATGTTAAGTATACACCAACGTTTTTTTCTACTGCTGGCTGATCTTGAGTTCACGATGGCGTATCTGGACGAAATTATTGTCGTTACTAAAACAACAGATTCCTGAACATGGTTTCAACCCCAGAAGTGTTCATTTGGGCTGTGTAGCATCAACTACTTGGGGTCAATTGTTGAGAGCACCGGTAGAAGACACGATCCGATGAAAACTGCAGTAATAGGAGGGAATGTCCACACCCACACTACAATCCTTCGTTGGGCTCGTGAATTATTATCACAATTTGTTACCACAGATGTATCCATAATGCTTTCCGTTAATCCATTTGCTGAAACAACATACCGAATGGTACTGGTAGCCTGCGTGTCAGGACGCCTTTCTTGCAATCCCAAGAATTCACAAAACCGATTCACTTCTCACTCACTATGACCCCGAATTACCCATCCCTGTACTAGCTGACGCTTTTGGGTACGGAAGGGGAACCGTTTTGTTACGTAAATTATTAGATGACCATAATAAGACCGTGTATCCCGTTTCCAGGGTACTTTCAGTAGCAGAGAAAAACCATGGTCAAATAGAAAAAAGGATGATTGGCTTTAATTTTCTCACTCAAAATGTTCCATACGGAAGAAAACCTACCCTGTTCATTGAGCACAACCCGTTTCTGTCCCTTTACGGTTCGAATAGTTCCGGGACGCGTTGCAAATCGGTTAGAACGTTGGACAACAATGAAATCAAGTTAGTAATTTTACTTATGGTTCATTGAGACAAGTTTCGGATATTCTGATACTCTGCTCAGACTTACGGCTGATCATGACAGTTGTCACCGTTGATTCTGATCTTCAGTAGGTTTTCGAAGATTAGGTGCGCAGTCAACCGGCTACCGTTATAATGATCCGGTATGAGATATTGAAAGACAGGCTATCGAAGGATGTGATGACTTATTATGACCTAGGGACCTCAAGAACAGAGTTGATCAGTTTCAGTCTTTACAATCATTTATCATACGCTTTCGTGCGCCGGTTTTGGTTGCTCTTTTGGCCGCCCATTTGGATAAAAGAGTAAAAAGAAAATTGGAATGTTGAAAACCAATTCAAGCAGAAGATAGAGAATTCATATAGACTAGTGTTTAGAGAATAATGAATAGATGCATCAGCACACTGTTTGCGACACCCAGCCATATGGCTCAGTGTCTCTAACCATCGGTGACCATGATCTCGGGGTCCCCAGCCAGGAAGTCTAACGAGATCTGTTTAACCCAATCTCTCAGTTAGGGTTTTCATACCCTCATACCAGGTCCTCGTTTAACCACCCTTGATCGTTTCCCAATCGCTACCTGTCTCGGCAAACATCGCTCGCAGTGGCAACCTATTTGGTGGCATGCGTAACACAGGCCCCAATCAGCGTAATCTATGGAGGTCGACTACCTGCTCCAGTGGATGACGGCGACTACCTAAAAATCTACGCCTAACCTCAGCAATGCTCGTCCGGTTTCTCCCACCAGACTCGTGTAGTGCGTTGTAGACAGCGATGCTCGAACACCGACAATCTATTTCTGTCCTCCTCCCGTAATGGTCAAGTCTCTGCACCGTAGAGCAGCTCTGGCCGAACTGCTGTAGCATACACTCGACCCTTCACAGACAACCGGATGTCGTGACGGCACCACAGATGTCTCCAGTTGGCAAATGCTAGCCGAGCCTTTTGTATGCGCGCCGACACTTCATCTGTGATGCGTCCGCCAGGTGAGATATAGCTGCCTACTTCCTCTGCTACTTCCCCAGTCAGGATGAGACAGGGTGCTAGACCAACCCAATCTTTGAGCAACATTTTACACTTTTTAGGTGCAAAACGTACACCGAACATGGCTACACTAGCACTTAAACTATCCATAAAAGTGTACAACTTACCTGGATCTTCACTTAGTAGCACAATGTTCTGCCACCTGGGAGTAAACCGATACCGTTACCCTCGTACGAGGATAGGGCTGTTTCTTTAATTAAATCTGTCACAAAGTTGAATAGAAACGAAGACAGAGGACAACCCTGTCGGACTCCACTTTCGGTGGTGAACTCGAGCGAAAAAGTGCCGTAAGCTCGGACTCAGCTTCGGCTATTAGTATTAAGGGATTGTGAGATAGAAATAAACTTCTCGGACACACCTTTCAGAGCGAGGAAGCGTTAGAGTTGAGAGCGGTCCGCTGAGTCGAAAGCCACTTTTAGATTGAGAAACATAGAAATGGTGGGTCTAAGAAAGGAGTTTCTTTGTTCTAGAATTTGACGAAGAGTAAAGATGTGGTCTATACAACCTCAGAAAGGTCTAAAACCAGCCTGGTTCTCACGCGTGCACTCTTCACGGGTGGCAGATAACCGACGGAACAGAGCTGATTAGGAATTTTTGAAAAGTGAGGTTAGCATTATGTATCGAATAATGATGTGCCACATACTTTACTGTCAGAACCAGGGTCAACCTGTCATCAGTCACATGAAAGTGATCGCTCGAAGTTACGCATTTATGGACCAGTAAATTGAACACGCTAAAACTTTAAACAATCGTTCAATGGGAACTGAACTATTGCCTAAGGCTGAACCTCAATCATGGCAACCTGCCGTGGCACCTTGGTCACGCATTCGCATTGGTTTTGCTGACCCTGCTGAAGACGTATTGCCTAATGATTGACAATGTGTATTCCAAGTGGCCCGATAAGGAAGGTTTTCGATAAATATCAGTCAAAATCTATTGACGGAAGTCATATTTTTCACAGAAAAAGGTTGGTATATCTTGTCGCATGAGTTTGTCAGTAGAAAACAGTTAGATCTCATGACATATTATTTTTTCACATTTATGCAGTTTCTAGAGGGGTCCATTCCAGGATGGCGTTCATTCAATTACCGCCCAGAAGTTGAGATTTGAATGTAATCAAAAACGGATAAGTTAGCTGCCCCGACAGTGGTTAGGTTGTCTTATGTATTAGAGGAAACTGGTGAATTCCAGTGCTCGCAAAGGAAAAAGGGCAAATAAAACGTGGACTAGATGAAAGTACAATACCTGTATCAAGTCAATGGGTCATTTCGATAGGTAAATTCTATTTATTTTTCTTACTATGGCTTTGTTATTTTACAAGTGAAGCATCAAAATCAGTCGTCCAAACGGAGAAATCGTACGTTTCAATGGCCTTCTGCTAAAAGAAGCAAAGACATAAGTGAATATTATGACAGATATGTTGCGTCGGTTATGGAGCAGTAACATATTAAATCCGTGGATAAGGCCCTAAATACTAAGCGATGCGAGGAACAAATGTGATGAAAGTGTCACGGTGTTGCACGAATTTGCTCTACCCTTATATATAAACTAACAAGAAATACATTAGTAACAACCTATCGCCTTATGTGGTTCGCCACTCCAAGTCCCAGAGATTAGGTTACCGATTTCCATCACTGAACAGCAGGTCCGCGTGACTATGGCGCTTTGCCCGTCTGCTATTCATCATACCAGTGTGTAATAAAAAACCGGCTATACCTAGTAACAAAAACAACCCCAGAGAGTCTCCGTATGATTGGCAGTGGGAGTCATGGGTTGTGGCTGGTCACCCTTGAATCTCGTCAAATGCTTCCATACAACTAAGCGTCTCAAACAGTCTCCGCTGAGGAAGTCCGATTGACTGCATTCATGAGGTGGCAGTGTATTCCCATCAAAGTGCGAGAACTAAAGATCAACATGAGGGACTGCATCCGGATCGGTGAACCTCGAGGAGTTCACCTAGGGAAGTTGGCTAAAAACCTTGATATCAAACCAATCAAGAAGGGGCACATGAACAACACACACAACTTCCCGGTTTGGGCAGTGGTCACCGACTCGATTGGGCATTGAGGGTTATTGGACACCTTGGATGTTTGATCTCATCCAAAGGGTGTATGATCCCAATGGTCAGATCAAAGACAGCGATCAAAACCGGCACACCAAACTGCATGGTTGTAAACACTGAACTGAAACTTTAGTGAAAAGTTTAATTGGCCTAGTGTTAATGTGGTCATTCCAGTAATTGCAGTGGAAATTCCATGGCTGGTAACATGCAAGCCCCCATCAGAATCGGAAGTACGAAGCTGCATTCAATCATTAAAGAAAGGAAAGGCTGCGGGACCCGATGGGCTTCTCCCTATTCTTTTCAAGGTGGGCGGTGATTCCCTTCTCGACTCAATTACTAGCTTATTTCGCAGCATTTGGACGGAGGAGCGTATCCCTTTGTCCTGAAGTGAGTCGTTGATCGTCCCGATCTTTAAGAAGGGATCACGCAACGACTGCGCAAACGACCGTGGGATTAGTTTAGTTCCAATAGTCACAAAAGTGTTGACTTCTGTGATACTTCGCCGCCTGACACATTTAATGGAGAGGAATATCCGCGAACAACAAGCCGGATTCCGATCAGGTCGCGGGTGCATCGACCAAATCTTTATTCTGCGTCAAGCCCTCCAACTGTGTCGCACACATCGTCGGTCAACGATCGCAGTGTTCCTTGACCCTAAAGGAGCCTTTGATTCAGTTGACCGTGAAGCTCTTCTGGGGTCGCTTCTCCGCAAAGGAATGCCGCGGAAGTATGTAAACCTATTGCGGTCGTTGTATATGTATACCTCTGGTAGTGTAATGGTCTACGATGGGGTAAATAAATCGTTCGAAACCAGGAGCAGTGACCGTCAAGGGTGCCCTGTTTCACCATTCCTGTTCAATTTCGTCGTAGACGAAGTACTGGAGAACGCC